CATCCTTTTTAGGACAATCCATTAATGTTAAATAAACCCCATTAAATTGTGCGCAATCACTGATTGTTGTACAAATTTGTGTGGGTGTGTTTTGGTATGTAAGTATATGTTTGATAAGAAGAGTAAGACAAATGGTTTAAGGAAATTTTTAAATACAATAAAAATTTCTAACCGAAAATAAAACAATACAATACCATGATTATAATTTATTCAAAAGACATTTATACGACATTATATTTCTCTAAGGAAACCCTAAATGTAGGCAATGAATTTATTTTTCTTTTTTTATTGTGAATTTAATTTGAGCATAAAAAATACGTTTATTTTAACAGAGTAATTAAATAACAGAGAAAATAGAGTGTTATAATCAGCTGTGGCAGATTTTTATGTATTTTTTATGAAAGTTGTTAAATTTAAAGCTGTAATTTGCAAATCATTTTATGGCTTGAAATTTTCTTTACAATTTAAATATTTTTATAAAGTGAAAATGTTGTATATTTAACAGCATTGAAGATTTAATTAAATGTTAACAAAAGTAGAAATTTATTGTAACAAATTGTTATATGAAAGTTTATAGTCAGGATGTAGGCATATTTTTAATTATTTTTTAAATAAAATCAAAATTTAGTTGAAAATACTTTATTTAAGAAAAACATGTCCCCAAAAATGTCTTCAATTTATCCATAATTTTATTGTCAACTTAATTTAACAATAAATTTATATAAAATTAATTTAAACATATTTTCAAAATAAACTTCTTAAACTATTTCTTTTGTGTTATAGCACAAATAATAAACCTTTTTCTTTTTAAAAACGAATTAAACATATTCAAACTAAAGAAGAACAAAAAAAATGTTCAGAAATTTAACAACTCAGTTGTGCTGAGTTTTTATTACGACCATCATATTTTGCCCATAAACTACAAACTCATTTACATTTTTATATCCTTTTTCCTATTTCTTGTTCCAACTTCCTGCCGCACAGCACCAACTAAAGCAGCAGCAACAGACACAGCCACAGCATCTCATATTTCGTAACCAAACACAGTATAACACTTAATATCAATACGAAATTAATTGCCTAGAAAAATAATTACCTCAAACTTTAACTATAACTTTAAAAGTGTTTGTGCTCTTTTGCACACACTCGCACACAATCACATCTAATACTTTTGCCGCACCCACCCAAACTCACACACACAAACTATAAAAAAGTAAGTCAACACTGTTTCTTTTGCACACAAACGTACATATAGAAACTCAGACACCCAAAACTATACTACTCCGGTGAACAACCGGGAAATAAGAAAATATACAAAAAATCGGCAAAAACGTTAAATTATGTGCAGAAAGACATTTATCAGAATGTCAAGAGCATAAAAAGGCTGTATTGTAGTAATTGTTGTTGTCGTAGTAGTAGTAGAATTACTGATGGCAAATATAAGAGGGTTATATGAGAAAGTTTAAGTTGAAAGAATAATTGCACCATAAATGAAACATTCTCAACATTTTTTATAATGGTTCAAATTAAGGTCTCTGACTAGATTAGGTTAAGTTTGACAGGTCGCTTGGTGAGATCAAGAGATAGAAAGGTGAAGCAGAAAGATGTTCGAGAAGCAAATGTTAAGGAAGTAAAGAGATGAGAGGGACGCGACTCGTACAGATCTTTACGATCAAGAATTACTATTTACTACATACTATTTTCTAACCGATTTCAGTGCTTGTTATGCACAGAAAAAAATATGCACATTTTTTTCTTAACAATCGTTTGCTTAAATTTAATTTCGATTTTTATAAAAATTTTTATTTGGTTTTATAACGAATTTGTTTGATTTTCACGCAGAAGGAAAATATTTTCTAACAAACACTTTATTGAAATAAATTTAATTTTCAGTAAATATTTTTACTGGTTCAATAAATGTTTTTGTTTGAGTTTTATTTATATGTCAGCATATGGAATACAACAATAAAACTAGTTTTGGAATGTACTAAAATGAATTGATATAATTCTTACTTGGTTTATAACATTTAATGTATAAGTGTTTCAGTTTTCACAGTACAAATAATAGTTTCTAGAATGTGAAATAAATTTGTTGTAAGTATATAAGTACTTTTTTCTACAAATTTTAATTTTATAGAATTAGTAAAATTTTTGTTAAAATTCAATATATATTTTTTTAACAAAATTTTTATAGATTCAATAAAAAATTTTGCTTATTATTATTGCCAAAATACAATAAATAATTTAACTGTTTCAGATAACCTATTTGCTTGAATTTCAGTACAAATACTAATAACTTGTGTTATTGTTTCAGTAAAATAATTGTTTGGAAATGTTGCGATTATTTATTAATGTTTTTCGTAAATAGTATATTATTTTAATAAGAAAAATCCTGAAATTTTTTCAATAAAGAATTTACGAATTTGAGTACTTGATTTTACGAATTTCGTGATAGGTCCTATTTTAGTTAAAAAAATACTTGGCTTTATGAATTTTTTGTTTGATTTTGAATTTCATTTTTTTCTGTGTGCGTTAAGTCGGTCTATCCTTATACCAGACAAGCACTGAGAAGTCATCGCAGATCAATGAGAGAGAAGATGCTCAATTGATTCCTCTTTAAACGGAAGTGATTACGGGTATTTCAAGTCTTTGAAACTTAGTATTGGCCAATTCTTTTTGGTTATAATGTCAGAAAGTTCATAATTTCATCTTGTTTGAGAGAAAACAAACTTTTTTCATTTGGTCGAAGGAAGACTTAATATGAATTTGATGACTTCAGTCTTAAAGACACTTCAGTCACCTTGAAACTTTTAAAACAACCCACGTCATACCTAACGGCACACAACAATAAAATTACAACACAATTTTGCTAAAGCAATCGAACGACTGTGATAAGCTACAACAAAAGAAAACGACAAAAAATCCTACAGCAAAAAAAAAAAAAAAAACAAGAAATGAACATTTAAAAACGAATGACTCTACAAACGTTATAAAGTTGAACGTAATTAATTAATGTAAGTGTTTGGGAAAACAGTAAGAATAGCAGAAAATTACGAGAGAAAAAAAAAACAAACTTAAATTTAATCCTACATTTACTCGTAAAATAAACTAATTACTAAAGTTGAAATGATTTAAACTTGTAAGCCTTAAAATAGGCAACACTTTACTGCAAAACAAAATGAAATAAAAGCTAGAATTTATATAAAGTTGAAGGGATTACCGAAAGAATGTGTCTTATTTATTGAGTTTTAATTTAAATGCATAACTTTTTGTTTTTAATTTAAACATATTTTCTTTCGCGAAACTTTTTAATTTAGTTAATTAAAATTTTAAAAATTTGCTGTTCTCTTCTAATAAGTTTTTGTGAACGCCTAAAAATAGATTATTATTTATATAAAAGCATTAGAAAATTTGCAATAATTTGCAATAATTTCGGAATCAATTAAGACATTTAAGAACATTTTGGCCATAAAAAATAATGGAATAATGCCTTAAATAAGCAATAGAGAAATTTGAATATGATCCCTATATGATACTTTAGTGGTCGCAGGAGTCTGTACTGATATTACTCACTGCTCAAACCATACATCTTCCTTGATAATGTTGAGGATATATTTAACATTTATCACACATATGTTCTCTATTCTTGACAAAAAGGGAGTACCAAGGTAATGAACTCTTCTATTATCTGTAAGTATAGGGCAGTAGCAGGATAGATGAGATACTGTCTCATTTCCCTCTTCATTAAGACAGCTTCTGCAGTATTCATTATATTCAAGACCTAGTCTTCTGGCAAGAGTATTAACGATACAGCGTCCTGTCTGTGCGGAAGCTTATAAGTAAGCTTGACCTGAAAGCATCATATAGAGGCTAGGCAATGTAGAGCTCGATGTCTGACTGGTGGATTTATTATCTTAAAATGTCTTGCTATCTCATATATTTTACCTAGATGTCGTAAAGACACCCACTAAATTCCAAATAGCAGCATTGCTGTCAGAATACATACATACATACATACATACATACATACATACATACATACATACATACATACATACATACATACATACATACATACATACATACATACATACATACATACATACATACATACATACATACATACATACATACATACATACATACATACATACATACATACATACATACATACATACATACATACATACATACATACATACATACATACATACATACATACATACATACATACATACATACATACATACATACATACATACATACATACATACATACATACATACATACATACATACATACATACATACATACATACATCCCTCGATATTTGATAATACTTCAGTTAGATCATTGATCGTCTGATAGACATTTCTGCCTGAAGAACAGCACTGTAATAAGACAGTCTGAAGGATTATAGTATATCTGAAATCCTTCAATGAAGAAACCATCCCCCACTTTTCCACTAATTTAGGAGCCATATTTGATAATACATCAGTCAGATCGTCTGATAGATATTTCTGCCTGAAGAACAGCATCATAATAATAAGGCAGCCTGAAGGATGATTATATCCGAACTCCTTCAATGAAGAAACCATACCCCACTTTTCCACTAATTTATTTGATAATACCTCAGTCAGATCACTGATCGTCTGATAGACTATTCTGCCTAAAAAACAGCACAATAAAAAGGCAGTCTAAAGGATAATTAAATCTGAAATCCTTCAATGAAGAAACCACCACCGACTCCTCCACTCCTTTAGAAGCCATCAGAGTAAACTTTTGTTACACCGGGAAGCGGGTGAGGTCAGGTACTGTATTTCATTCAGGAATCCAGATAAGTGTTTAGCAAAATAGGGTTTCGTAACACAATTATCAACATTAAAATGAACAGATTCGAACTATTAGATAATTCCTGAGCTGCCCTCATTTCTACAGCCAGATCACGAACAAAAAGCATTCATAAAATGTCCTTAAAATAACTTAAACTTAAAAAATACCTTGACAGGATTTTGCAGGTATTCATTAGAGTCGAAACTTACCTAAAAAGACAAGAAAATATAAAAAATATATTAAATATTTATTGAATAATTTTAAAAACATAGCCTAAGTAAAACTTTAATATATAAAACAAATATATATTAGAGGAAATAAACTAAAAGCAAACAAAATACACAAATTCGGTTAAATAATAGAAAACAAAAAATTTGGAACAAATAGAGTAAAGATCAAATGCATTTCTGACACTTGATATGATTGATGTTTGTAATTTGAAATTATATGCAAATAAAATTGTTTAAATCTTTTGTAAATTTTGTTTGAGTTGGCGTTAAGAATTTAAAAAAAAATTATTATATTTGTAACAAACTTTTATTTTAAATACATAATTATTTAAGGTATTAAATACATACTTTAGGCATGAAAATAATGTGCAAAACTATTTTTTAATTAATTAAACATTTACCAATAATTTAATACTATTGATATCATATTAAATTGTTCATTTATTTATTGACGTTTTTTTTTTTTGCTCTGAAAATTGTATAAATGTTAAATGTAATTGAATTTTCATGTTTGACATGTTTGTCTGTTAAATACATGTGTATGTTGAGCAAAAAAACACGCATTAATTTGATTATTTACAACTACATATTCATACATATGTTGTTGATAAATACATGCAAATATTAACAAGCCGCTTAAAAGTAGACAATAGTTTTTTTGTGAACATTTGTTTATATTAAAATTAGTATTTATCACACAGGCTAATAAAATTAAATTTGTAGATTTTTTTAGAATTTAAAGGGAATTGTTTTTGTATAGAATATTGTTTCCTGCAATAAAGCATAATTTTTGGTGTTTTTACATATAATATAAAATATACAATCTAATTTTAAAGCCTATCTTTGGGCCAAAAATTTAAAACTTTTTAAAGCCTACTTTTTTGTTTAAATTAATTTAAATTAATTTAAATTAATTTATTTATTTGTTTAAGCTTACATGCTTTTTCAAGTCTTTTTTAACAATTTAATAATGGCTTTTAGTTATTTTGTCAGGTTATTTTGTTGTTGTTGCATGAAATAATTTTTTAATTAAATTGTAATTATATTTAATTGACAAAATGTTTATTTTAAAAATGCAATTAAATTTAAAATTTTTTACTGCAATTTCTACTATTTTCCATTAAAATCCATCAGACCACTTGAAGCTTTATATAAAAAAGGCATTAAATTTTATAGCATACTTTTAGGAAGTAATTAAATTAAAAATGTTTTATTTTTTGTGCAGTAATTTTTCTCTTTTTTGTTTGTTTATTATTTTGGGAGCGAAAGCAAATATAATGAACTAAATGTTTAAATACTAAATTTATCAACTACAAATAAAATTTATTGCTTTTTTCCCCTGGAAGTGTTTGTGTATGAGTGTAGCTTATAGACATAAAAAACATACATTTCATTTCAAGATTGCTTTTCTTTTATTTAACAACTTTCTACCACATTGTGTTTGTAGCACATACACAGGGATTCAAAGAGAAGAAGAAGGATCAGTAGAAAAGGAAATACGCAAAGAAACATTCCTTTATTTATAATGTGGCTTACCGACACTTAATTGTATAAATTACTGTTTTGTAAGTTAAGTGTTTTACTTTACACACCGTCATGGTTGGCCAACAACAAGGACTACAAAAAAAGAAATGTCTTTCTTAAAAGGTATTAGTAGTGGTGTGTTATTTAAGGGTGTGTGTATTTATTATTTTATTAACAACACATGCCTAATTGTTTAGGCATTTAAATAATACAATAAATTACTATTTTAACAACTCAGCCCCTGTTAGTGGATTTCCTTTAGTCATCATCATTGAAGAGGGAAATCATTGATTACTCTAAAATCAATTACCATATTTTTTCCTCCTGACTTAAGTTATTTTCTCCCCCATTTATTAAGTAAAAATGATTTTTTCAAAAGCGGAAATCGTTAAGTAATATTTCAATGTGACATAAATGATATTCATAACAAAAACTAGAGGGTTTTCAACTTTGTTAACACCTTCTTGTGTGTTGGGAAAAACATAATTTGAGCCATATTTTATTCATGATTTGTTTAAATTTATAAACACCAAAGGGGGGGTTTATGGTTTGGTTGTTTAGTGTCAACTAAATTTTATACAATTTATGTTCAAAATTTATATTTCATGACTTTTTTATACAAAAATTTAATAGCCTTAATTTGTTTGGTTTTTATTATTTTCCAGAAAAAAATGCTTAAATTTATGAGTTTGTTATGATTTGCTTTTTTCCAACCATTTATTGTTTTTTATTGAATTTTTTTTTTTTGGTTGTTGTTGAGGGTTTAGAAATTGGATTTACATGTATAAACACGCTTGCTTAATGGAATGTAAAATGCAAAGTGGGAAAAAATAACAAAATTAAAATGTATAAGCCAAAAAGTAGGCAATACATTTTGGGAATTTAATACTGGAAAAATGTACAAAATATAAGCGTAATTTTAGTGCTAAATTAGATTATTGATAGATAAAAAAAAATATTTGGACTTAAAATTTATATAAAACAAGTAAGAAGTTATAGTAGAGCGAGGCCGTGATTTAGTGTTCATAATAAAGCATTTAAGTTGAATTGTACCTTGTCTCAGATATACTTTAGCCATTTCTTGTTGAATAAAATTGTGTACACTATGCATAGCTATGTCATATTTCGAAGGGAGATTTGTATAGGGGCGAGAGTCAAATGAGGCCCTATCATCAAAAAATTCATCAGGGTCATGAATTATGAACTTAAAAGGCCTATTCGAGGGGTTCAGTTGTATGGGGGCTAGGTCAAATATTGGACCGATATTAACCATTTTCAATAGGATTCGTCTCTAGTACAATAGATGATCATGTGCAAAATTTCCTTGAATTATCTTCAAAATTGCCACTTGTACTTTGATTACAAGGTTTACATGCCCTTTTTGGGGGTTCAGTTGTATGGGGGCTAGGTGAAACAATGGACCGATCATAAATATTTTCAATAGGCTTGGTCACTGAGGTAATAGAAGATCATGTGCAAAATTTCCTTGAATTATCTTCAAAATTGCCACTTGTACTTTGATTACAAGGTTTACAAGCCCTTTTTGGGGGTTCAGTTGTATGGGGGCTAGGTGAAACAATGGACCGATCATAAATATTTTCAATAGGCTTGGTCACTGAGGTAATAGAAGATCATGTACCAAATTGAATTATCTTAAAAAATGCGACCTGTAGTTTGATTACAAGGTTTACATGGACGGACGGACATAGCTAAATCGACTCAGAAAATTATTCTATGTCGGTATTGGTATACTTTAAGGTGGATATAGGACCAATATTATTGTGCGTTACAAGCATCAGCACAAACCCAATATACCCTCCCCATGGTGTATGGTATAAATAGTTGTGGAGTTTTTTTATACCCAAATCGTTATTAGTATATATTTAATAATCTTTTGAAATATTATTTAAATGCCCCTAAAAGTTTGCTTTAATTTGTACATATATATACATATAATTATATTTTTAGCATAAACTTTTATTTCTTTCATTTTTTAACAACAAACAAAAATGAAACAAACAATTTTTTGAAGAATTTTACAATTTAGTTATAGCATACTTTTTGGGATAACTTTTTCGTTGCATAGTGTTTCGGCAGTTTGTTTTATTTTGATATTATATGTTTTTCTTTTTGCTGTTTCAGTATAAAGCGCTTATTCTGTTACTTGTGAACTTGTAAAACAGAAGGCTACTGCTACTCACTACTGTCAGGACAACTATCAAGTGGAACCTAACACAACAAGTACTTTTTATGACTTTCTAAACCATTACAATTACAAAAAAAACGAAATGTTGAAAGTAAAATACTAACAAAAAAATTTTTTAAACTATAACCATGGTAAAGTTTTTTAAGTTAGTTTTTAACAAAAAAAATACAACACGATGACTTTGTTGAAGTGCATACTTTTAGGATGTTATTTCTTGCAGTGCTCTCTTAGAAAAAAACCAAAAACAAAGCAATTTTATAAGAAAAAAAAAAAACTTTTCAATAAGTATAAGTTTCAATAGTATTTTCTCACTTTATCTCTTCAGCAAAAACACAATTAGGTTGTGTTTACGCCACCACTCTTTCAGATAAAAGTAATAAACTCTAAAACAAATTTCCATTAGTGCCGGGGTAATAGAATTTAATAAAGGACACAAGGTAGACTAACATTCAATTGAAAATTTCATATTATAAAAAGTTGACACTTTTTTTTCTTTTCCATTTTTATCATTAAGTGTAAAACTTACCATAGAGCATTATATTTAATTATGAACAAAAGTTATAAAAGTTAAGACAAATTGATAAAAAAAAGAAGAAAAAAATGACTAAATAGTTTAATTTTCAAGTTATGAAACGCTTGAATCTATAGCTATCATTAGATTCAGAGTACATACAGAGCGATGTGATTGTCCAAGAAGGCATATTCCTTAATTTTCTATATAAGATAAAAATTTGAACAGTAAAATTATGTATAATATGAGTTTATGTACACATGTGAATAGAAAATTAGTTGTAAGTATTTGTTTTTTGTTTTTTTTTGCAGTGAAGACGATAGGGAGTTTTGCCTCAGCCAGACCTTGCTCCTTTCAACTGCTTTTTGTTTCTATTGATACAGAATGTACTCTCTGAAATACGCCTTACTTCAGATCAGGATATCTCGCATTATATTTAATTACGAACAAAAGTTATAAAAGTTAAGACAAAATGATAAAAAAAGAAGAAAAAAGTGACTAAATAGTTTAATTTTCAAGTTATGAAACGCTTGAATCTATAGCTATCATTAGATTCAGAGTACATACAGAGCGATGTGACTGTCCAAGAAGGCATATCCCTTAATTTTCTATATAAGATCAAAATTTGAACAGTAAAATTATGAATTTTGAAGTATAAAATTACTTCTGTCATAAATTTGTTAAACGAAATCCTACATACCCACGTTTATATATCCCAAAAAATGTTGCCTACCTTAA